GGTCCGTGAGGCTGTGTAGGGTACAGGTCTTTATTAAGGAGTGTTACCAGCATGCAATGGCATTGTGGAAACCAGATTGGGTAACCACTATTTTGGTTAATAAAAAGAGTCAAAATATTCGGAGTATTCTCGTCCTCAGCCTCAATGCAAACTTTTGAATAAAAAGAATCAAATTTTCCCTCTCTGATTGCTCCAAAAGATATCAGAAAATTAAAGCAGAGAAAGAAAAGTAAACAACCTGTACCACAAACTGTTTTTTAACTCCCTAAGTTCTCTATATCTCGGTTAATGGAAAAATTACTTTCTTACGCATGAGAGCTGATGTTGGTTTGTTCTTATTATTAGCAAGGTAATTATTCACTCAACACCAGAAGAAAAAGGCCAATACATTCCATCAGGGAAGAGTTAGTTGTTCAGGCAGACCACACATCCTCTGAACATTGGGATAGAATTTAAATCAGCCACCGAACGAGCTAGCCTTACACAAAGATCAGATTGAAAACCTCGCCATTGGGAAAGAATATTGAAATGAAAGTTAACCATAAATAGCAAGCAGAGAGGAAATCACTGAACAAGTTGGGCACGTGCAGTATTCCATTCACTCCAGATAATCTGGAAAGGGGAAGTGGAGGTGGAATTTCTCAGGGGTTCTCCAGGATGACTGGACAAAGACAGATGGGAATGAGAGGAAGAATAAGAAGACCAATGCTTACACTATGCTGCATTGTTCTCCACACAGTCCTCTGGGAAGCAAGAGGAAAACAAATTTAAAAAGAAAAAGAAAAAGAGATTATTCTATACATAATAGCATAGCACAGGTATAAAGTTTAGTTCGACAGACTGGCATTCCACCCACCCCTCCCACCTTAAATTCCCTCAGAATGATGAGCAGAATATTTGAAAAATTCACATACACAGCCATTGTTGAATACTTACTGGAGACTTATTGCTCTAAATCATCATGGACTTGATGGGCTCACTTCCAAATCTGGCTTTTTAAAAAATTTCACTTTTGTAAAATATATTCCTCTAAGATACACAATGTAAAATACATTTTTACCCTAATGGCTCAGTGGGAGTAAAAAAACATACATTCCCTGCCCAAAGATGTTCCAAGCCAAATAACATGTTGTGCTATAATTTTCTGAGTTGTACAACTAATTGTTTTTTACAGAGGATAATTGGAAATACCTTTGTATGTTCAGATTTTAAAAATCGAGCCACTTTGTGCTGATTTATTTTTACACTTGATATTTTCGATCAATAGGAACCTGGTTTAAAAATCATGGTTTCCCATCAAATTATTTAAGAGACTTCACAGAGGATGAATTTAAGAAAAAAGGGATGAGAGCCAATCTATTCCTTAGTACAAATCATTACCTCTAGCCTATTTAAGTGAAAGTTATTAATAGTCGCTGGGACAGAGGGCCAGCTAAGGTGAGTGTGTGTTGGCAACAGGAAAATGACATGATAGCAGGACCGTTCTGTTAACTGAATTACAGTAGCTGATGGCATTCATGTTCTCAACAAATCATGGCTGGTGGCAGGGAGGACTGTGATATTTTCAGATGAGTCGGCATTCCATCAGCAGCTGAATTTATACAAATGAATTCATTCATTCTTGGATAACAAAAATAACTTTAAGGTAGTATATTTGAAAACTACTGGCTAGCTCAACTGCTTTTTATGCCCATATAACTTTAGAAGAACAAGTGGAAATGTTCCCTGGTGATAGAAAATAATTCATAAGTTCCTTACAAATATAATAAGAGGTTCCATGATGGAATTGATGTACTTTTTAGGAGAGAGTTTTGTTTTCAATTCTTTCATATGAGTTTTAGCAGCAGTTTACCCAGCTTGGTGTAAGGAACATTATTTTTTAAAACAAACCCTGTAATTATCAGTTTATATTTTAAAAGGATAGCTTCACAATAACTGATATAAGAACATTTACCAACATATTCCAAAGGAACTACCACATGTACTCATTTAAATAGTATTAATAATTAACTCTCCAAGAGCTGAGTAGTTAAGTTATTTTCCTTTTAGCAAAAGGTGATCAGAGTATTCTTTGGCTGCTGTCCTTTGAAGCATTTTCTCTGCTGCAACACTTTGAGAAATTAAGGGAAATCTTTTCCAATTACCCTCCTTTTCTAAGACACATGCTTCTTATAAATATTCAAGAAACATCTTTTCAGGGGAAAATTAAAACAGGAGTAGGTAATATGAGCCTTGTTTATAAACAGTCTAAATAGGCTGTAATGGATGACAGACCCATCTGGATAGTTCACCAACGCCTGCTCCTTGAAGTTGAACACCATCTGACTGTTGCACAGCAGTCTCGCCAAGGGTATTAGCTCCATCTCTCTACGGTTCCCAACTATATAGAGCCCTCAAAGGGAAGAAGGCCTTGGGGGAGCCAAGGGCTGCAAACAGAGACTCTGATAATAGCTGCAGGCCCAGCTTGTGTCTCAAGAATAACCTTGTTATGGCTCCTTTTGATGTGGAAACAGTTTCTTGCTCTCCAGAGCTGAGCAGAGTGGGCTTATGGCTGGCTATGAATTACAAATCATTAATTCTTACCATTTGGGAAGGGATCAGAATTTAATTTAATAATAATAATTTTTAAAAAAATTCTGCAATTTTCACTTACAGAGCCTGAAGCCATACCTTTGAGGAAATGAATATTATGTGCTCAGAATGTTTTAGAATAAAATTGGCTTATGGATTTCAAATACTTATGAACTGAGTCTGGTCTTTTACATATGATCCTATGAGTCACCATTACTAATTACTTTTTGGGAAAAGATTGATTAAAATATATATTTTTGGTGTGGATAAAATAGAAGATCTTGTTTCATTTGCCAATACTCTTCAAAATCTTTATATTTGGGGTATTTTGAAAATGACCAGTAAAGTTTCTTTATAAAAGGTTCAAATCCCAATTTTTACCTCTGCCAGATTTTAAATATCATGTGAAATTTTCAGAGTGTTGATGTTTTACTTAGCTTGTACTAAGCTGTCAAAGTATTGTTGTCTTTTGAAAAATATTTATCTTGTTCTACTTCCCCTGTTTGAGGGTATGTGTTTGTTTCTCCTGGGATTGAGAGAAAGCTGTGCTTCCTTGTTTCAAAGGGAAAAAAATTAATTAGTTGCCATAGATATTATATGGTTCAAATTCAATGCAATTTTAACTAAGTGCACAATGTACCCTGGTTCTTTTAAAAATATTTTAATTTTATTGTAGTAGAGGATATTTAATTTGAGATCTACTCTCTTAACAGATTTTTAAAAGGCCCAATGCAGTATTGTTTTTTGTGGGCACAATGTTGTAAGTGAGATCTCTAGAACTTATTTATCTTTCACTGCATTCCCATTTTTAAGTTAGATTCTTACAAAAATTCAGAAAAGTCTGAATTGCTCCAATAATTAAGTTAGAGCCAATGGGAGAAAAAAAGGATCAAACCCATACTCACCATTTATACTACTAGTTAAAAAGATCTCGCTATACAATGCAATTTGTAAAGTAAAACTCTAACAACAGAATTTTATGAAAACCATCATTTCTTTAAAACAACTGACTGGTTGTTTGGAGGAATCTGATTGGTTGTTTAATAGAGAAATGGTGATTGGCTGCCATGTTCCCTTTTTAGCATCCAGCCCCTTCTCTCCCTTGAAAAGACAATACACTCTTTTGAAATCTACTTTCTGAATAAACTATTGTTCCTAATCAAAAAAAAAAAAAAAGAAAAAAGAAAAATGGTGATTAATTTTAAACTTTTCCTGAAACTGTGATAGAGAATAGATTGAGGCAAGGTAGACAGAAGCAGCAATTACAAATATGATACCTTTACCAAAACCTACATTGAAGAGGGGGTTTTATTTGCTAATAAATGATAATACATTTATAATATAATTTAGCAGTTAATGACTCCAGTTAGCCCTTTACTTTAATACTTCATGGACAGGCCTTTATGTTGTAGGCACATCTGATTTTTATAGAAAGAAATGCAGAGATGTGCTTACTTGGAGGCCGAATTCAACCAATTTAATCTTATGAGTTCTATACTGTAGAAGGATGTTAACTAAAATCATAAAGTAATTTATAACAGTGACTAATAAAAGTATTTTCATAACCAGCAGTGCTCGAGATCTGAGTTTATATGGTACAATCAGATGTGGTTCAAGTGCTTTATGACCTTAAGGATTTTATCTGTTAATTTTACATCAAGATAATTGGAAAGCAACATTAACAGCCCTAACAATTACAGGTATATAACGTGTTTATAGTACTATAAATTGAAGAAATTACATTAAAAATAATCAGGCAGTATTTTTTTGAAATTATGAGCTTTTAATTTTTTACAGCAAAATTTGCTTTTTAAAACACATTCAAAACACTGTGTTTACTATGTTTATGGTTGTATTCTCCAATAAATTTCTTTGATGATAGATACCAGTCAATCCCCTGACACATCTAAACAGCTCAAAGAGTGTCTACTTCTAAGGATTCCAACTTTTTAAAGACACATAAAAGAGAAAAAAACCAGTAGTAACATTGATTTAGGTTTTCTTGGCAAGGTCTTTCAGACAGAAAACTTTGCACATAAGAAGTCATACTAATGTTACACTGTATCATAATGGAATAAATAACCATTTTAAGAAAAGAACTGAAGCAGATGAATAAGAAATGTGCTATTGGAATTATATCTCTGGAAGAATGGTTACTTAGTTTCCCAATTAATATTTCATAGAAAATATGAAGTTGGAAATTTGGTCTCTGTATAAGTGGATTAATAGTTATAAGATTTCTTAAATAATCTAATTTGTGACCTAGAAGAAAGATCCCATTACTTTTCAACATTTTAATTAAGAACTGGGGCAGATATAAGAATGAGATAACTTTTAGAACCAACTTTTTCAGAATCCCATAAGTGTTTTGAGGAATGACCTTAGTAACACAGAGCACCCACAATGGTCATCAATCTGAGAATACTCACCAGCCGGTCCAAGCTTGTGCCTGCAGCAGTAGTTGGTCTTTCCTCAGGATTATAGGGCCTGAAACGTGTATTAAAATTTTCAGGAGCTGAGCGGGCAGATCTGAGAGCTGGAGCTGGTTTGGGCTGGCCACATCCCTGAAAGACCTGGTAGAACCATTGGAAGGCAAAGAAAGTTACACAGTGAGTTTCCTCCTAAAATTATGATGCAGAAGCACGCAATACAATGGGTTTTACATTTCTCATAAAACTCTTACCTCCAGTAAGCTCTAATTTCTAAATTTAAACAAGTACAATGACGAATTTAACAGAAAGAATTACCCAGACGATACAGAGAGATCGACTCCATGCCCTGACTCTTAGTTTTGTAACCATGAATTTCCATTTCAGCTTTTGACAAATGGTTTTAGGCCTTTTTCTCTCTTAGCCTATACTTTAACAACTTTTTCCCCTTTCTAATTGAATTGTGTGCTTGCTTGAGAGATTCCAAAGGTTATTCCAGAGGCTGATTTTGGATAACAGAGTATGGAGACCCCACGGCAGAATTCTCCATTGTTTAGAGGTTACCTGAAAGCACTTAATCTACAGCCTGGCCACAGTAGGATGGTACTGGCCAGCTCCCCAGGTGGACAACAAATTCAAGATAACCATTGAAGTGAGATCTGCTTCCAGACATTCCTCGTTCCATTCTTTCCCTTTAAAATTCCCTAGCCTCAGCCTAAAATTTTGAAATGGTTTCTATGAGGCATGAGCCCAGCCATTTCCCCATCTGTTGGCTTTTGGAATAAAGTCACCTTCCTTCCACTAAATCTCGTTCTTGTTTATTTTTGCCTGCAAGCTACAAGTAGCAGAACTGGCAAAGGACAACGATTTCACCATATACAGTCACTCCTCATTATCTGCAGATTCTGTATTTGCAAATTTGCCTATCTACTAGGATTTATTTGTAACCCCCAAATTAACATTCACAGAACTGTCTACACAGGCAGAGTAGCAAGAAAAAAAAAAAAGAAATTCACCCTATGTGAAAGTTTCCAGCTGGAGTTGGAGAAAGTGATGATCTGCCTTGTTTCAGCTCTCACCCTGTAAACAGGTGTCCTTCTTGTGGTCTATTTAGCATAAGTGTGCTTTTTGGGGGGTATTTTTGTGCTTTTTCTTGGTGATTTCAATGTTTAAAATGGCCCCCTATCATAGGGCTAAAGTACTGTGTAGCTTTTCTAATCACAAAAAGGGTGTGATATGTCTTACGGAGAAAATATGTGTGTTAGATAAACTTCATTCAAACCATGAGTTACAGGGCTATGAATCCAATGTTAATGAACCAACAACATAAATAAGGTGTCTTTAAACAGAAACACACATAAAACAAGATTATGTATTGGTTGGTTGATGAAAGTGTTGTGACCAGTGGCTTGCAGGAGCCCAACCCTGTATTTCCCTTAAGAGCAGGGGTTCCACATTTACTAATTCAGTGTTTGCAGCAGCTTTGTAGAACATAGCTGCAACAGATCATGAGAACTGACTGTGTTAAAAGTAGGGATTGCAACAGTTGCAACATAGGATAATTTCAAGATTAAATGAATTGCATCCCACTTTTATGTACTTGAATTTGACATTCAGTAAACATCTATTTGGGATTCCTGTTATCATGACAAATGTATTTCATGTATAGCATAAAAGGCCAAATAATTTGAGTAACTCCCTTTTGAATAATGAAAACCTCTACTGGAAGAATTCTTTGAAAACACTCTCTTGAGCAATGGTGTAGAAATAGGACAAGCAAATGTGGATGAAATCTATATAATGACAGTTTCCTCTAATTTTGTTGTTGACAGCTGTTCATGTCACAATTAGGGTTGTTGTGGGAAATCAGACATTTTATTGTAATGATCTTAGGGACTGAGCTGCCAGTTCTTTTCCACAGTGATTTCACTCAGGGTGGTGTGAAGACACTTCCTTTGCTGTTTTTAGAAGTTTATATTGTGTGCTGGTTATCAAGAGATAATACCTTTACTAAAATGACAGGAAATATAGTAGCATTCTCAGAAAAACTTGATGAAGTTAAACTTGATGTTTCTTGCATTTCTACAAAGATGGTTCCTCTCCTGGATGCTTTTTTACAGTTAACTTTTTGAGACTATTTACATGCACTAATTCTCAACTTGCGGGAGTACATTTACAACACATTTGTTCCAGTTTTGTGATTTCATTCTGTGTTGTTTAACTCTAAAATAAGCGTTTTTCATCAGGCATGTTCTGTGATTCCACTGAAGTACACAGAGAGCTCTCGAGTGCCATTCACAATGACAAAATTCCATCTTGAGACACAATTCATTTTGGTTTACCACTACAGCTAATTTCTCTTTTGTTGTATTCAAAAGTTTGCCTTCAACTCAGCATTTTGCAGAGCGGCAGTACTTTGTCTTGGCATTCCTCGAGAATGGTCTTAACACACTATTGATTATTCTTCCCTCACACAATTTCTGAAGTTGATGGTGTAAACTGGTGTGATAAAGATAGTGGGCCCGTTTCTCCCTAGTGCCTAAATCACTTCCCCCTGGCAAGGTCGTTGCTGATGGAGGGCATTAACATTTCCAAAGCTCCGGGGATCTGGTGAGTATTCTATTTTGGATTGCTTTGAAAATGACAGCTGACTTTTAAAAAATATAAAGCCCAAGGCAGAACAATACTAATGGGCTTGTTGAGATTTCCTGAAGCCAGGGCTGAAAGAGTTAACAGACCTTCTTAATTCACCCTCTGGGAAAAATCTGGCTCACTGGATTAAGTTAAATCAAAGAAATATGAATGCCCCTGAAAGAAAGTGTTCTAGGGAGAAATTTCATTGCATACAAAAACTTAGCACTTGCTTGATTTTTTGGTACGGTGTTAATTATTACAGAACATAGGTTAGTTAACGTAGCCTAGTAGCTTGCTTTCTGTTATTTAGGTCAGGTTTGGATTTTGAAGGTAGCTTTCGTAAAGAAATTGCTGGGTCTGTGATCCAAACCAAAGAAATCTCTGACTTCTAGTTGTTTCCCAAAAAACACCTAACTCCACAATCAGGTGGAGAAAAATATGTCACAATAACCTCAAATCTTGAAGGTCTTTAAACAGATTCTATCATCCTCTGCAAAAAACAGAATTGTCATAAGAGAAACCCTTTAGTGTGGAAGTTTCAAGCCTAGGAATTAAGAGTTATTTTTCAGAATTTTGCAAAATCTAATGAGAACAGTTGCAAAGGGGTATAAGAGCATCAACTTAGCCTGTTTTTACTTGGGAATGATTAAAAACTTCTGTATTAGTCTCACACCAAGAATATATTAAACAACATATATTTATCATATAGATGGATTGTAAATCAATTAGATGACTTACAAAATGAAAATTAATAGTTTTATTATTTGAATTGGGAGATTGAAAGGACATAACATGGAGTCAGTATGGTCAAAAAAGCAGTCATTTTAACATTACTTAGAACTGTCATGCTTTTCTAGTAGCTCACTTTAATTTATCCTCTAATCCACTAGCCAAGGACAGAACCAGTTTCTCAGAGGTAGCTATTGACAATTGCTTTACAACCCCCCCCCAACTTGTTTTGTAAACAAGTTAACCTAATCGATAGCCCTTCATGACCTTCATGGCAGAGACCATCAACAGGGCAACAGTCATGTGAGTAACCCACCCATCTGTCTGCCATCTCTCCCCTGACGTCAGCACCTGCGCTTACCTGCCCTCTGTGATGGTGCAGAACAGACTACCACTCAATCACTTGAATAACCAGCCCCCATCAAAGGGAAAGTTTAAAAGGAGTCAACCTGAGGCAGCCACTTGCCATTGCTTTGCTAAACTATGGTCTGGTCACGTGGCTCATGGAGTTATGGCTGCCGTGTTTCTTAGTTGTGGTCCCCTCCCCTACCTTGGGGAGGTAAGTCTTCTCTCTCTTTCTCTCTAATTTACTTTCTAGCTATTGCTTTGTTAAACTCTGGTGTGTCCACGTGGTTCTTTGAGCTATGGCCGCCATGTCTCTGGCTTTGTCTCCCTCCCCTACCTTGGGGAGGTGAATCTCCTCTCTGAAGGTAGCCCAGCACTGAGAGGTGTGGCCTTGCCTTCAGATCGGCTTTGTCTTTGTCTCTATGGCCGTAGAAAAACGATAACAAGAGTATGATCACGGGGCCTATTAAAGCAGACAATAGTGTGGTTAACCAAGGTGAGTAGTTTAACCAACTTTGAAGCCATCCTTGTCTCTGTTCTCGTTCTAATTTCCGTTTGGCTAAGCCTTCGCGGACTTTGGCCATGGATTCTTTAACGACACCGGAATGGTCTGCATAGAAGCAGTACTCTCTCTTCTAATATACTTTCTAAATAAACTATATTTTCCAATCTAACTTCTGTGCAATTCTTTGCCTCTTTCACGCAGCACCAGACCATACAACCCCCTGTGGGTCTGACCTAATATTTTGAAGACCCCGCTGGGATATTTTAACCTAACAAAAATATAGTTTATTTAGAAAATAAATTAGAGGAGATTCATCTGCCCCCACCCCAAGGTAGGTGAGGGAGAATCATTTCATTTTTAATACATGTGCGATGATCTGAATATTTGTGTCCTTTCAAAATTCATAAGTTGAAATCTAATCACCAGTGTGATGAAATTAGAAGGTAAGGCCTTTGGGAGTTGATTGGTCTCTGTCCTCATGAATCAGGTCAGTGCTCCACCATGTGAAGACACAGCAAGAAGGTGCTACATATAAAACACCACACAGGCCCTCAGATCCTCTGGAACCTTGACCGTAGACTTCCCAGCCTCCAGAACTGTGAGATCTAAATATGTTATTTATAAGCCACAGTTTACAGCATTTTGTTGTAGCAGACTGAACAGACAACATACAACCTGTTAGCTAGAAAATTAAAAAAAAAATACGGGGTTCATGAGGTGGGTGATAAAAGAAACTGATGGAGAAAATTTGGATTGTCTCAATTTTTTTGAGTTTAGTATAACTATAGTTTTGTGGTTTGTGAGGGAGGCTAGATGAGTATAAAAGAGCAGTGAGTCTGCTAGCCAGTGTAATGCCTATGTGACCGCTGAATTTCTACCCCGACCTAGCCCTGCTTATCTTTAAGAAACAGAAAGAACAGAAATTCCCCTC